GAAGATTATAGCTATTTTCTAAAACATGGTAAGAGGAAGGAGTTAAACCTTATCAGGAAGTGCAAGAGAAGAAGCTGTTTGGGGAAAAGTAACAGTTATATTTAACTGTTTTAGACAGTGGAATTTTTTACTGAGATGCCAACCTAGTACCATGCTTAAATTCATGTAATTGGGTTACCAGTGAAAGTAGCTCGTCAGAGCAGTTGCCATGAAAATATTTGTAAAAAAGACAGAGAAAAGCCACACCATGTCTGTGAGAAAGTGAATATAGTTGAGATGCCAGGTCAGGATGTTTCACATTGTATATCTGTCTTTGGATTTTGAGGATAACCTTGAGATGAACAGCGGAAGCACCAGACCATATATGGCAACAGTATTCAATGCAAGGACAAATAGTAGATTTGAAGTTTGGACTCAGGCGAGAAAAACCTTCTGGCATGACACAGAGAACCAACTTTCCTTGCTGTAGACGTAGCTATTGATTCAATATAGTTCTTATTTAGAACTGTTAAGTTATTGTTCACTCTGTTTCTATACTGCACAGTACAGGAATTGAACTTGTAATGCTTTATTCCATGATGCTGTTAACCTATAAGATAAATTTGTGTCGAGAACTAGTCTAAATGTAAATAATGTTAACTCGTCATCCCAGAAATTCAGGTAGAAAGAAGTAAGTTGCATTTTTAATGTATTGTATGACTTCTTCTTCAGTCGTGGCTCTCTCCAGTTTCCTGTACAATGAAGAAGAAATCTAATACTACCTTATTTTCCACAACTAATTATTAAAGAAGGAAAAAACTGTAATCATTGTTTGAACGGTTTTGACTTTGCTTAACAGATCTTTTACAAATATAATTCAGTATTTGAAACGTTAATTTGGACAACTGCAGTATAAAATAAATTAATCCTGATTTATTCTGATACCTAACTAAAATAAATCTAATTTCATTTTGCACAGAAATAAAATAAGACTTCCATTAAACAAAAAAAAAAAAAAAATTTAAAAACAAAAATAAGCATTCATATAACTTCTCTAAAATTATTACGTCATAATATTAAAAAAACAAAACAATTTATTTATTATAATCAAATCTATTCCTCTGTTTATAGACCAAACTGATTTATATTTAATTCCTTGAACAAATAAGACATTAGTTCATAGCCATTCAATAATAACCATTTTTTTGTTACATCAGGACTGGGATTAATCTTGTACATAGCAATTTGGGTCTTGCCTGACAGAGGAGCTCATAATGATTTGAGGCAACGTTTTATAAGGCAGGATGCTCTTTTTGATACCCAACTCAGACACTCATGGTAGTCCATAGACACTGTGTTTTTATCAAGGCACCATCTGCAGAAAGGTGGCCATTCAAGTGCAAAAGACATTATAAGACCAGAACTGAGTTATATTCTTTAATTCTACTAGATCAAACCTTTACAGCTAGAATGTGCCATGCTATCTCCACAAAGTCGAATCACCCTCATTTCCAATGTATTCCAATTGTAAGGAGGAAGTTCCACTCACATAGCTTTTTTGGTGCTGTTTTAGCATGTGTCCTACCAAACAGTTTCTGTTTTAGCGTGCATCCTACCATCATTTTTGTATCTTACATTATTAAGTCATTGTCCTGTTTTCTTTCTTGATACATTAAAAACATTCAGGATGTTTTTTTTTAAAGGATTTATATATCTTGTTTTATGATTTTTAGTCATATTTCTTATTCTATAATTTTTTTCATTTTAAATTTTATAATACAACAATAAATGGCATCCCTTCTTCCATTTTTGCTTTCCCTCTTATGTTAGATAATGTAGGATACATTGACTGCTAAAGTGGCACCCTTTTTTTTTTTCTCAAGAACTGCTACTATGTGGATGCTTCCCCTGAATGTTAGTCATAACCTATTCAAATTAAGGGTTAATTATTATCTATCCTTCTTATCCTCATGCACTTCCTACCTCCTTTTTACATTCATATAATTACATTTAGTAATCCTCTAATTTGAGTGTATCTCAAATTAGGTAAATTTGAGTGAACTAAAAAATAAAGGTAAAAAGTATAGCAGTCTGTAGAAAGTATCAATTTGAAATTAACTGAACAAATTTTTTGGAATTATGTGTTTATTTCTCAGATCCTAAAAAATGTAAAAAATGACTTTTTATGCCTTTTATAGGAATACGTCAAATTTGTGTCTCTCAAATTAGGTAAATTTGAGTGAACTAAAAAATAAAGGTAAAAAGTATAGCAGTCTGTAGAGTATCAATTTGAAATTAACTGAACAGAATTTTTGGGAATTATGTTGTTTATTTCTCAGATCCTGAAAAATATGAATAAAAATGACTTTTTATGCCTTTTATAGGAATACGTCAGTACAAAATAACGCTAGTAATATGGCTCTATACTGAAAAAGAACTTCATGTTGAGAATGTTCTTTTTTGAATCCTTGTCTCACCTTTCACCATACAGTCACCTTTCATAACTATATGATTTAAATCTGGTTGAGCAGAAAAATTCTTAAATAATATCCGTATACATCTCAAAAATGTTTGGTTTTAAAAATTATTCATATTTCCATTTAAGTGTCTATCACCTCATAAGAAATTCTACTTGCAAATTATACATGTAATTTTTGCCTGAATTTCTAGGATGAGGAGTTATCATTATTTGCATATTTTATATTTGGACTATTGTCCTCCACATCTTTGTTGTTTTATCATAATGTTTCAGTTATTGTGCCCTCTGTTCAGTTATAGCTCACCTGCTTCCATTGAGTGCAAGTACACACTGCCCAAACCAGGGATTGAGCTTACAACCACTATGTCACCAAATTCATAAACCAATGCTTTTACCTACTAGACCATTGTATCGTACACTGTCCCTCAACAGTACTAAATAAAAATAAGAACTAAAAATATCCCTAGATATGAGCCATGGAACAAGAACAGTCTATCTCTGTAGATTAAATAAAGGGTTCAGTTCAGAATCCCCTGTAGGTTACCCAGATCAATATAAACCTGTGGAAGGTTGGAGGTTCACAACAGTGGAATTGTTGTGATAAAAACAACAAAGATGAAGACAATAGTCTGAATATAAATAAAATATATGTAAATATACATGTAATGTTTACATTCTTAAAGTTTAAGCAGCACTGTGGTTATTTGAATGGTAGTAAATATTTTAATTAGATGTGGGCGGGTGTAAAAGTTATTAAAAACTGACCCTTCACAGTTTTTTTGTTTAGGGCTCATCTATTAGATTATTGATGTTTTTCTTATTTTATTTATTTATTTATTATTTTAAATGTATTGTTTTTTTAATATTAATATTTCATTTATCAAATATTAAATATATATATATATATATATATATATATATATATATTTTAAAGACATTTGTTATGTTTATACATTTCTTTTTATAGATACAAATATTTAAGTAAATCTTCTATTTTATAATCAGTATTAACATTTACTGGCTATTATGTCAAAAATTTTCAGAAAATATTCGTAAAATGTTTGGACATTTTAAAATTATTTCATCTATAAAAAAATATATATAAATAACTGTCCATTCACATATATATATATATATATATATAAATGCATGTGCATATCATGTTTACATGTACTTCAAATACACAGTTATATATGAACGTGTAGGTGTCATAATGGTTAATTACTTGGAATGAGAAATCCAAGACTTGAGTTTGAATTTCAATTCAGCTTGATGCATTCACTTTCTTAACGAATACTGAGGAGTGACTCTATCTCTCTCCTCAGCTTAGTAGGTAATTGACTGTCTGTGTTCTATAGCCTTGGTTGGCAACCAGTCTAGGAGAATGAAAACTCTGAATTCAAACTAGCCTGGGGAGGGATGGGCTCTGTTAGACTATCTTGTCCTAGACACACTACTGCTATAGATGCAGTACATGTGGCATCCCTGTGACCCTAACAAATTATGGATTTGGGATTGTAAATTTAAAAGGTTGTAAATATTTATTCCATTAAAATGAACCATGTTTATTGGCCTATAAAATGGCAGGGGAGAAATTTAAAAAATCTAAACGTTACAGATTTTTTTTAAATTGACTAAATTATAAAAGAGATGTCAGCACTTTGCCTTCAAGTAGAAGAGTTAGGAGTTCCTGTTGAATTGTAGCCACCACATAATTCGTGAGTGAAATGTCAAATGTTACCAAAAATATCTAGATATCTTAATAAATTTTAAATAGAATAGTTTCTAAATTAGAACCTTTGTTTTATAAATTTTACTGATTCTAATTGCAAAGTTCATTTTGCCTGTTGCGATTATCTTTGTTTTTGTCATCAAATTCTTCAAGCTGATTCTTCAGCATTCTTTATTGTTATTTTCTTCAAACCATTCATTGTTCTGATTATTAAACAATTCAGTATTCTTTATAGACACTAGATAGATAAATAGATAGATTTGACTAGAATTAGAGTTATATAGTTATCACAATAATTAGAAATAAATAGATAGATAGATATGACTAGAATTATACATAGATAGATTGATATGACTAGAATTTTAGATAGATATGACTAGAATTATAAATAAAGAGATTGATATTACTATAATTATAGGGAGATAGATATGATGAGACTTATAGATAGATAGATGTATTAAAGAATTATAGATGGTATATAGATTAGAAAATAATAGGGGGAGATCAGAAATATTCATAATATGACTAGAAATATAGATAGATGTGACAAAGAATAAAATGGGTAGATAATGTAGCTAGAATTATAGATGAATATAAATATGGCTAGAATGGGATATGACTAGAATGATAAAATAGATATGGAGAAATGAATGGGGAGATCAACAATGGTAATAAAATATGATGAAAAAAATAGATGAGGAGATGAATATGACATTATGAATGGATGAAGTAGATACAATGATTAGAAATATGAATAGATAATGATAAATGGATATATGATTAAATGTGATATAGATGGGGAGATGTAGATTATAGATGGGTAGATGAATGGGTAGATATAGATATGATTAGAAATATAAATGAATAGCACTGAGATGATAAATAGATATGATTAAGATTGATATAGGGGAGATAGATATGACTGGAATTATAGATGGGTAGATTTAGATTATGATTGAAATATAGATGGGTGAATGATGTGACTAGAATGATAATAGATATGGGAATGTGATATAGATAAAAAACTGAATTATGAATGGGTAGATGAATTTTTTTAGAAATATTAGGGCTAGAGATGATAAATGAATGATTGAATGTGAATATAATAGGGAGATAGATCTAAATTATGAATAAGGTAGATGAATATTGATAGAAATATAGATTGATGAATTTAGAATGATAAATAGATATGATTAGAATGTGATTTTATTTATTTATTTATTATTTTTAGAAAATGAATGGCTTGTTTTAAATAGATATTAGAATTTATAGATGGGAGAGATGAATGTATTTAAATATGAATAAGATAGATGGGTGAATAGATATGATTATATATAGATGAATATATAGAATGATAAATAGATATGATTAGAATGTGATATAGATAGGAGATAGATATGACTAGAATTATAGATAGGTAGATGGAATGGTAGATAGATATGATTAGAAATATAGATGGGTAGATAGATATGGACTAGAATGATAAATAGATATGATTAGAATGTGATATAGATAGGGAGATAGATATGACTAGAATTATAGATAGGTAGATAGATAGGTAGATAGATATGATTAGAAATATAGATAGGTAGATAGATATGACTAGAATGATAAATAGATATGATTAGAATGTGATATAGATAGGGAGATAGATATGACTAGAATTATAGATAGGTAGATAGATAGGTAGATAGATATGACTAGAATGATAAATAGATATGATTAGAATGTGATATAGATAGGGAGATAGATATGACTAGAATTATAGATAGGTAGATAGATAGGTAGATAGATATGATTAGAAATATAGATAGGTGAATGGAAACTAGAATGATAAATAGAATATGATTAAGTGTGATATAAAGATGATGTGAGCTAGAATTATAGATGGGTAGAAAATAATAGATATGATTAGAAATAGATAAAGATAAGGTAGATGGAGTATGACTAGAATATAAATATATATTAAGAATATATAGATAGGAGATAGAATGCTAGAATTATAGATGGGTAGATGAATGGGTGAATGGATGTGATTAGAAATATAGATGGTGAATGAATGTGACAGAATGATAAATAGATATGATTATGATATAGATAGGAGATAGATTACAATGATATGATTGAAATATGAATGGGTAGATAGATATGACTGGAATGGAATGATTAGAATGTAGTATAGATAGGGATAGATATGACTAGAATTATGAATGGGTGAAGATGAATGGGTGAATGAATATGATTAGAAATATAGATTAGATAGATATGACTAGAATGATAAATAGATATGATTAGAATGTGATATAGATAGGGAGATGATATGACTAGAATTATAGATAGGTAGATAGATGGGTAGATGATATGATTAGAAATATAGATAGGTAGATAGATATGACTAGAATGATAAATAGATATGATTAGAATGTGATATAGATAGGGAGATAGATATGACTAGAATTATAGATAGGTAGATAGATAGGTAGATAGATATGATTAGAAATATAGATAGGTAGATAGATATGACTAGAATGATAAATAGATATGATTAGAATGTGATATAGATAGGGAGATAGATATGACTAGAATTATAGATAGGTAGATAGATAGGTAGATAGATATGATTAGAAATATAGATATAGGTAGATAGATGTGACTAGAATGATAAATAGATATGATTAGAATGTGATATAGATAGGAATAGATAAGGACTAAATTATGGATAGGTAGATAGATAGGTAGATAGATATGATTAGAAATATAGATGGGTAGATAGATGCTAGAAATGATAAATAGATATGTATTAGAATGTGATATGAATGGGGAGATAGATATGACTAAATTATGGATAAATGGGGTAGATAGATATGATTAAATATGAATTAAAGATATGACTGGAATGATAAATAGATATGATTTAGAGATCCATATAGAAAATGATGACTAGAATTATGAATGGGTAGATAGATGCAGATAGATATGATTAGAAATATGAATATAGATAGAATACTAGAATGGATACTGATTAGAAATGAATAAAACTAGAATTATAGATGGGTAGATAGATAGGTAGATAGATGTGATTAGAAATATTTGAATGGATATATTCTGGAATGATAAAAAATATGATTAAATGTGAGAATGGAGATGAATTATTCTAGAATTATAGATGGGTAGATAGATAGGTGATGAGTGTGATTAGAAGAGTTATGGATGATAATAGATATGATTGAATTGATAGCCAATGGGTAGATAGATATATAATATGAATGGAGATGAATGTATTCAAATGTTACCAAAAATGTGATATAGATGGGGAGAGATATGACTTTATGGGTAGATGAATGGGTTTAGAATAGAATGAATGGGTAGATGAATGTACCAGAATGATAAATTTGTTTTATAAAGATTTTACTGATTATAGATAGGTGATAGAAAGATAGATGTGATTTATAGATTGCTAGATTTTATTATATTTGAATTTTGTAGGGAGATGAATACCCTTTTGAATCAATGAATGGGTAGATAGATATGATTAGAAATATAGATAGAAATAGATATGACTAGAATGATAAATAGATATGATTAGAATGTGATATAGATAGGGAGATAGATATGACTAGAATTATAGATAGGTAGATAGATAGGTAGATAGATATGATTAGAAATATAGATAGGTAGATAGATATGACTAGAATGATAAATAGATATGATTAGAAATGTGATATAGATGAGGAGATAGATATGACTAAATTATAGATAGGTAGATGATAGGTAGATAGATATGATTAGAAATATAGATAGGTAGATAGATATGACTAGAATGATAAATAGATATGATTAGAATGTGATATAGATAGGGAGATAGATGTGTTTAGAATTATAGATAGGTAGATAATGGGCAGATAGATATGATTAAAAACATAGATAGGTAGATATGACTAGAATGATAAATAGATATGATTAGAATGTGATATAGATAGGGGAGAGATAACTGTTAGAATTATAGATAGGTAGATAGATGGGATTAATATGTGATTAGAAATTATGGGAGATAGATATGGCTAGATATGATTAGATGTGATTTGGGGAGATATGATTAGAAATATGAATAGATAGGATAGATGATATGACTAGAATGATAAATGGAATGATTAAATGAGATTGATATTAGCTATAGATGATAGATGAATGGGGAGATATGGATATGATAGAGACTAGAATGATAAATAGATATGATTAGAATGTGATATAGATGGGAGAGATATGACTAGATTAGGATATATAGATGGGTGAATAGATGATTGAAATATAGATAGGTAGATAGATATGACTAGAATGATAAATAAATATTAGATATAGATAAGGGAGATAGATAGAAATTATGAATGGTAGATAGATGGGTGAATGGACAATGATAAATAGATATGATTAGAATGTGATATAGATGGGAGAGAATGACTAGAATTATGATAGGTATGAATTATAGGACTAGAATATAAACAAATTAGAATGTGATATAGATAGGAATGAATGTGACTGAATTATGAATGGGTGAATGATACAGATGGATGTATTAGAATGATAAATAGATATGATTAGATATGAATAGGGAGATAGATGAATTATAGATGGGGAGATAGGATATGACTGGAATGATAAATAGATATGATTAGAATGTGATATAGATAGGATATGACTAGAAATATAGATAGATGGGTGAATGAATATGACCAGAATGATAAATAGATAGATTAGAATGTGATATATAGGAATGATGTGATATATAGATGGGAGATGAATGGTGAATGGATGTGAGCTATGAATATATATGTTGATATAGATAGGGAGATGAACACAGCTAGAATTATGAATGGGTAGATGGATAGGTAGATAGATGTGACTAGAATGATAAATAGATATGATTATGTGATATAGATATGGGGAGATAGATATGACTAGAATTATAGATGGGTGATAAAATGGATATGATTAGAATGATAAATATATAGATTAGAATGTGATATAGATAGGGAGATAGATATGACTAGATGATTAGAAATATAGATGGGTAGATATAATATGACTAGAATGATAAAAGATATTAGAATGTGATATAGATGGGGAGATGAATATGACTAGAATTATAGATAGGTAGATAGATGGGTAGATAGATATGATTAGAAATATAGATGAGAGATAGATATGACTAGAATGATAAATAGATATGAGTTAGAAATGTGATATAGATAGGGAGATAGATATATTTAGATTATAGATAGGAGATGAAGTAGATGAATATGATTAGAAATATGAATGGGTGAATGGATATTACTAGAATGATAAAGATAGATTAGATGTGATATAGATAGGAATAGATAGAGCTAGATTATGATGGGTAGAAATATGGATATGATTAGAAATATGAATGGGTAGATAGATGACTAGAATGATAAATAGATATGATTAGAATGTGATATAGATGGGGAGATAGATATGACTAGAATTATAGATGGAGTGAATGAATGGTAGATAGATATGATTAAAATATAGATGGGTGAATAGATGTGCTAGAATGATGAAATAGATATGATTAGAATGTGATATAGATAGGGAGATGATGTAGCTAGAATTATGATTAGAAGATGGTAGAATATGATTAAATATAGATGGAGTAGATAGATATGACTAGAATGATAAATAGATGTGATTAGAATGTGATATAGATAAGGAGATGAATGTAGCTAGAATTATAGATGGGTAGATGAATGGTGAATGTGATAGAATGATAAATAGATATGATTAGAGATGTG